CCCCTCCCCTCTTAGCAGAGGACCAATTTAGTGTGCATAAATATTTCATAACTTCATCTCGTCAAGAAATCAAACTGTACTACTTAAGGGCATTCTTCCAGGAGCTCCACATCCATACTCGAAGAATAAAACTGCATTCATCATACCCATTCTCCCTCTTCAAACCGAAAGGCCTGAAGGTGAAGCAACAGTGAAAATCTGGAGATCTTGTGTGGGTATCATCTAAGAACATTATCTGCTGAATGCTAAACTCCATTAAGAAACATAGAAACAACACAGTAAGGTTGGCATCTTCTGAAGAAAATACATCTCCAGCTTTTCAATCCTCTTCCACATCCTGGTCCTCCAGAAGAAATGAATTCTTCTGTGGCTTTCACAAAACCTCATGAAGACTGAAACAACCAGTCTAGAAACAACCCGCTGCTACAGACAGAGAAGCCGACCATGAAATCAAAAGGTGACTGAAGACAGACATCTACAGGTGGTTTGATTTCCAACAGCACAAAACACATGCAGCTTCCACTGATCTGGAGAGGAATTCAGCACCTAAAGAAGAGACGAGGCCATTTCTGTGCAAGTGAACCCTGACCTGTCGATAAGTATCTGCAGGCTGTGCCTGCAGTGGTGCGGAGGAAACAAGAGCTGCATCCTGACAAAACTGGCACAAGATGCTACTTTGTTAACAGAGGTAGCCTTAAACTTCCTGAGCACTGGATGACACACATTTGGATTTGACTCTGCATTTACTTTCTTCAGTACTGCATCAAGAAATTCTCTGACAGAGCTCCACTTGTTAGCTTTGCAAGAGAACGACAGGGATGCAGAGCAACCATCCTGGGACAGCAGGTGCCCCAGTCATTTCCACAAACATTGCACATTCCCAACTTTCCTCCTTTAGGAGGCTATCCGCTGATTCATGGTTTCTTTCTCTTATTGCAAGACAACCTCTTTTAGACATAGAAAAAGTATTCTCGTCGTACCACCAAGACCATGGCGTCTGTGTTCTTTATAAAATATTGATTCGTCTGCCGTCTGTAGTCCCAGAAGTTAAAAGGTGCGTCCGTACGAGTAGGTAAAAGCAGACCCAAGAGCCTCTGCCTGCACGCTGAACTGGCCAGACCTCAACCAGCTCCAACCCAAAGCCCTTAGCACAGCGCTATACCTGAGCCTGCCTCCTAGCAGGGTTTAGCACGGGGTTGAACCATTACTCGCAGGACACCTACACCAACAGCTGCCTCATGTCTGGCCATCTCAGGGCACGGGCGAAAGAGCTCAGGTCTGTTTACATCCACTTGCCTGTGCATATGCTTTAAGAGTGGCACATGGGACAAAGCAGCTTTTGCACAAAATCCACATCATCTTCATCTCCCCGACAATCACGGGATATTCCCGTCACCAAGTCTGACACAAGACCAAAGAAAAAAAATTACTTGCTTCAAAACCCGTAACTTTCTCTACCCACACAGCTCTTTCAGGTCCCTTCCAATGAAGCAAGACAACAAGAGCGGGGAGATTGGGAAGTATAACATGCAGAGAGGGAAACTAGTAAGTCATCAATACATACATCCTGTTAAAGCCTGAATCGCTGCCAGGAATCTCAAGTAAATTGACAGCCTTAAGTGCAGTGACTGGAGGCCATCTTAGCTGTTTCTAGTGACAGAAGATATTACCACGAGGAACTCCTTAACATACCAGCTTTGCCATTCTCACAGGACAACATACATTCGACTGTATGAAAAACAGCTGCAGTTAAAAAGGCAAAGAAGCTTTTCTTTAAGCTGCTCCTGAGTGCCAGCTCTGAGGAAGCACTACAAGGGATAGGAAAAGTACTGCATAATCAAGGGACAAAGTCAAAAAAGTCCTGGCTTGAATCATCACTGGATTATGGGAACCGCAGTTAAGTAATAAACCAATCCTGGTCTTGACCTGCACACCAGGGAGTAACAGAGGACGATGCCCGTGCTCATTTTTAACTTTTCAAATCAACACAAAACTTTGTGAGAGAACTGTTCTATTACGTCATGTAAGTACAAGGTGACTTCATAAGCTAATGAATTAAAAAGCCTGGAAATTTTTCCTGTTGTGATGTATCTTCTGCATTCTCTTAGAGACGGGAGAGTTGGACGGTTTTCACGGAGCTACCACGCAATGCACATACAGACTATTATAAAGCAGCTGCCTGAGCCTTTATAAAAAATTCCCCATATTTCCCCAGTTCTCTGTGCTGACACATTACTTTCTAAGACACGTATCTAGGAAAGGTAAAAAGCTGCTGTCATAGCTATTCTGTCAGACTCGTTTCTTATTTCCTGGAGTAAACAGAAAGCTGCAGACTTGGAAACTGCAGGTGAGCACCCAAGTGAACAGTAATAAAAAGTTATCTGGAGACTGTAAAGGCTTCTTACGTTACTCTTTTTACAGGTCCGTGGCTTTTTTACTGGAGTGTAACATCTGGGATTTAGCCCACTGAGCTATTTAATATCCCTTACTATTTGGCCTTGGTGTAGCATCGCTTCCTCACAATACTGGGTCTCCAGTACTGAAGACTGCCCTTCTACGTTTTAATTTGAGACTTCGAGGACCTTTCTCAGGGACAGGCAGCTGACAGCAAACAGGCTTCAACCGGGGTCCCCTGGACACATACGGTAAGGGGGCGGGGGGTATTACCCAGGTATTTTGATGCAAAGCAACGCACGGACTCCGGTAGAAGTCGAAGCCTTGCACCGACAGCCGGTAACGGCAGGCGGCGGGGCAAGGGACGCCCCGGCAGGAATCCCCGGGGGCCCCG